ACTTATATGCTCTAAAACCTCATTGTAATTCCAAAATTATGTATTATGCAGACATCCTGCATGGAAACCATATTAAATGTCAACAAAGTGAAAGACCACTAACCACACGATGACAAATTGTTTTGATCTCATGTGCCAGATGTAGACATGCTGAATTTCACGTGTCTGTCAACGAGGTAAAAGGAGGATTCCTATCATATTTTCAAAAATATGTGATTCAGTAAAGTCGGCGGCGACTGTGATTTTTGTATAAATCGAATTGTTAAAACCATCTTCTCTGGTGTTGGCGAAGGTGAAAGCTCAGCAGTCCAAGTGAGCGCTCTCTTTGCCTTCTTTTTTTCAAACAAAAGCTGGTTGTTCTAAATCTCTGTCAAATTGGTCACAAATGCTTGCCTATAATAAGCGCTTTCCATAATGTTCAGTGCCGCAAAGTACTGCGAGTGATGAACTCGGATTCCAAAGCAGGAATTTGGCCCTCAAAGTGGGAGCGTTAGTTGATCGAGCAGTTGATCGCCTCATGAGCTGCTGGAATTACAACTTAATGCAATGATTAAAATCGAAACTCCAGTAACACGTATAAAACCCTGGCGGGGTAATTAAATGAGCACGTTCGCATAAATATTTACTTGCGCCACCATCTTATAACAAAATATGATCCTTTATCATTTAAAAACTTCAAGTACTAGACCAGTGTCTCCTATCGTGGTCTTCTGCGTTTATTTAATCGATCTTCTATCGGGTGCCACTTTTACTGCAAACAACAAGGGTAGTCATGTCTGAGCTGGGGCATAAGTTCAATTCTTCTTCTTGCACTTTCTGGAGCTGAAGAGATCAGTTTCTGTCATATAGTGCCCTTCACGTGGGGTTGTGTCTCTGAGTGCTTAATACAACAACAGCAACATTTGTATAGCGCCTTTCACGCCGGGAGGACGTCCCAAGGCGCTGGACGATCGGTGTTTCGGACCCGAGTTGGGGGTCGGGATCGGCAAGGGTGGAGGGCAGGGGGGGGTGAAAGGAGGGTGGCCAAAGGCACGGTCGAAGAGCAGGGTCTTGAGACGGGTCTTGAAGGAGGAAAGGGAAGGGGCGAGGCAGAGGGACTACGGGATTGAATTTCAGAGGGTGGATGCAGAGTGAAGGTGAGGACCAGGATCTTGAACTGTACGCTCTGTGTGATGGGAAGCCAGTGGAGTCGGGCGAGGATGGGGGTGAGGGTCACGGAACCTGGCGCGGGAGAGGACATGGGCTGCGGAGTTCTGGATGATCTGCAGCCTATGGAGGGAGGCGTTGATGGAGGCCGACAAGCAGTGAGTTTGCATAGTCAAGCCTGGAGGTTATGAAGGCGTGTACGAGGGTCTCGGCGGCCTGCGGTGTGAGACAGTGGCGGAGCCGGGTGATGTTGCGGGGGTGGGGGCAGGCACAACGGGACATGGCGGAGCTTGACGCCAAGCCAGGGACCAAGGGTGCGCGCGCATATGTTCAGTAGGTCTGTGGGATAGGCCGGGGAGTTTAAGGGAGTCGGAGCCACAGGTGGTAAGACTTTGACGAGAACTAAGGAATAGGGCTTCCATCTTTTTAACATTCAGCTATATAAAGTTGGCGCTCATCCCGGCCTTGATGTCCGACAAGCCAGCGAGCAGAGCATCAGTGAACCTGGAATTGTAGCGAGAGGAGGAATAGTAGTCATCCGCATATACTTGTGGACGTTGACCCCATGTCTGCGGACGTTGAGTCGATCAAGACACTTTAGTGCCGCACTGACCACGGTGTATCTCTCCTTTGACTCCAACTCTGCCTTTCGCTCTGGGGAGGTGGGGGCTCCCTCGTTTGCCTTGACTTTGTTTATGACTATCTCAATCTGCAGCCCTTCACTGCAAAAACGTCCGGGCACATTCATTCACACGGCACTGGCTCCGGATTCATTTAGGCGGCACGGTCCTCGCCTTCACTCCCGAACCGGGCTCCTGCTCTACTCCCTATTCCGCTCGGGACGCTTCAAGGCACCGTATTCTCAGGCGCCTCCACACGGGAAAACGGCAACGTCGCCTTCAGCGTAGGGCTTCCCAGAGGGGTACAATCGGGGTAAATCATTAGGATTCTTGTCATTTGTGGAGTCCTGTAGCTCAGTGGTTAGAGCACTCGCTTTGCAAGTGAGAGACCTGAGTTCAATTCCAGGCAGAGGGCGAAACCTCGGGCAAGTTTCCTTACTCCACACAGAGCCTAATAATAATCCCTCCAAAACCAAACACAATAATAAATTGGTCATTTTCAATCCACGACTGTTTGTGGGACATTGCTGTGCGCAATTGGCTGCCGCGTCCGCCCACAAATATACAGTCAATTCACTTTACAGTGTGTTCTGTGAAGGGCTTTGGGACGTCCTCCCGACGTGAACGGCGCTATATCAAATGCAAGGATTATTATTATTATTATTTTTACTTGCGAAAAATACTTTTTGACGAGAACTAAGGAATGCCCCCACCCCCACCCACCCCCCAGCAACCACCACCGCCCTTCTATTTCAAGCTCAATTTGATATAAAACTTAATTTTATACAACCAGCTGATTGGTGTGTGTGTGAGAAAGGTTCAAGCGGGAAAATGTATTGGAAATTAGCGAGTCGGGGGGGGACGGGGACGGGGTCGGTGGGTGGGTGTGTGGGGCGGTGGGGGAAGCTGGTGAGCTCAGACCGTCCCTTTTTTCTTTTTGTTTCCAGGTCCCCCCCTTCCACCACCCACCACCCAAAAAAAAAAAATTGTCTTTTTAAGAAATATTTCTAATAAAAAAATGGAGCCATTGTGCGAAGAAAAAGAAAAAGAAAAAGAAGAGAGAAAACGTATCGGAAATTAACGAGGAGGGAGGTGGTGGGGGGGGGGGGGGGGGAGTGGGGGAAGCCGGTGCGCTCATCGTGCTATAAAAGAGAGAAGAGAAAGAAAAGGGGGAAAGAAAAAAAGGAGAGAGAGAGAGAGAGAGAAAAAAGTGGGAAAGAAAAAAATAAGGAGAGAGAGAAAAAAAAGTGGGAAAGAAAAAAAAAGGAGAGAAAAAAAGTGGGAAAGAAAAAAAAGGAGAGAAAAAAAGTGGGAAAGAAAAGAGAGAAAAAGTGGGAAAGAAAAAAAGGAGAGAAAAAAAGTGGGAAAGAAAAGAGAGAAAAAGTGGGAAAGAAAAAAATAAGGAGAGAAAAAAAGTGGGAAAGAAAAAAAGGAGAGAAAAAAAGTGGGAAAGAAAAAAAAGGAGAGAAAAAAAGTGGGAAAGAAAAGAAAAAAGGAGAGAAAAAAAATTGGGAAAGAAAAAAAAGGAGAGAAAAAAAAGTGGGAAAGAAAAAAAGGAGAGAAAAAAAAGTGGGAAAGAAAAGAAAAAAAGGAGAGAAAAAAAGTGGGAAAGAAAAGAAAAAAAGGAGAGAAAAAAAGTGGGAAAGAAAAAAAAAGGAGAGAAAAAAAAAAAAAAAAAAAAGTGGGAAAGAAAAAAAGGAGAGAAAAAAAAGTGGGAAAGAAAAAAAAGGAGAGAAAAAAGTGGGAAAGAAAAAAAGGAGAGAAAAAAAAGTGGGAAAGAAAAAAAAGGAGAGAAAAAAAAGTGGGAAAGAAAAAAAAGGAGAGAAAAAAAAGTGGGAAAGAAAAAAAGGAGAAAAAAAAGTGGGAAAGAAAAAAAAAGGAGAGAAAAAAAAGTGGGAAAGAAGAAAAAAAGGAGAGAAAAAAAATTGGGAAAGAAAAAAAAAAGGAGAGAAAAAAAGTGGGAAAGAAAAGAGAGAAACAGTTGGAAAGAAAAGAGAGAAAAAAGTGGGAAAGAAAAAATAAGGAGAGAGAAAAAAAAGTGGGAAAGAAAAGAGAGAAAAAGTGGGAAAGAAAAAAAGGAGAGAAAAGAAAGTGGGAAAGAAAAAAAAAGGAAAGGAGAGAAAAAAAAAGGAGAGAGAAAAAGTGGGAAAGAAAAGAAAAAGGAGAGAGAGAAAAACCCACCAAAGCTCTGACGGTTTGTGAACGAGGAGCGATTGGCGCCCAAACCCGGATTTGAATTGTCGCGCAGGCGCAGAGCGCTCCTCTTTACGGCAGCGGCGGAGCGGCCGAGGCGCTGCCGGAAAGCAGTTTGAACCGGCGCCGGTCAGCGGTTTCCGGGGAAACTCGGGGGTCGTACAGAGAGGGGGAGAGGGGGGGAAGGAGGGAGGGATAGAGAGAGAGGAGAGGGAGAGGAGAGGGATAGTAGAGGGATAGGGATAGGAGAGGGAGAGAGGGAGAGGGATAGGAGAGGGAGAGAGGAGAGAGGGAGTGGAGAGGGATAGAGGGAGAGGGATAGGAGAGGGAGAGAGGAGAGAGGGATAGAGGGAGAGGAGAGGGATAGTAGAGGGATAGGGATAGGAGAGGGAGAGAGGGATAGAGGGAGTGGAGAGGGATAGAGGGAGAGGGATAGGAGAGGGAGAGAGGAGAGAGGGATAGAGGGAGAGGAGAGGGATAGTAGAGGGAGAGGGATAGGAGAGGGAGAGAGGGATAGAGGGAGAGGAGAGGGATAGTAGAGGGATAGAGGGAGAGGAGAGGGATAGAGGGAGAGGAGAGGGATAGAGGGAGAGAGGAGAGAGGGATAGAGGGAGAGGAGAGGGAGAGAGGGATAGAGGGAGAGGAGAGGGATAGTAGAGGGATAGAGGGAGAGGAGAGGGATAGAGGGAGAGGGATAGGAGAGGGAGAGAGGGAGAGGAGAGGGAGAGAGGGATAGAGGGAGAGGAGAGGGATAGTAGAGGGATAGAGGGAGAGGAGAGGGATAGAGGGATAGGAGAGGGAGAGAGGGTTAGGAGAGGGATAGGGGAGAGGGAAGGAGGGATAGGAGAGGGAAGGAGGGAGGAGAGAGAGGGGGAGAGAGGGAAGGAGGGAGAGAGAGAGAGAGAGGGGGAAGGAGAGAGGGAAGGAGGGAGATAGGGATAGGGGGAAGGAGAGAGGGAGAGAGGGATAGGAGAGGGAGAGAAGGAAGAAGGGAGAGAGGGGGAGAGAGGGAAGGAGGTAGAGAGAGAGAGAGAGGGAAGGAGAAAGAGGGATAGGAGAGAGAGAGGAGGGAAGGAGAGAGGGAGAGAGCATTAAACACTGTAGCCACGTGAGGCCGGAGGGAGAGTAAAGGCTGTGAGAGAGTGAGAGCAGCAATAATAATAATAATAATAATAATATAACGATCGTGGCATTGGGTGTGGAGCTTCTCACGTCTACGCGGCGCCTCAAAGCGATTCACAGAACATACTGTCGAGAGAATTTTGTGGCCCAGAAGTGAAATACTGTAGGTATCTGTGTGTGTGTGGGACGTCTGTGTGTGTGTGTATTGGCGTGTCTGTATGTATTGGGACGTCTGTGTGTGTATATGTGTATTGGCGTGTCTATGTATTGGGACGTCTGTGTGTATGTGTGTGTGTATGTGTATCGGTGTGTCTGTATGTATTCGGACGTCTGTGTGTGTGTATATGTGTGTTGGCGTGTCTATATGTATTGGGACATCTGTGTGTGTGTGTGTGTATTGGTGTGTCTGTATGTATTGGAATGTCTGTGTGCGTGTGTATTGGCGTGTATATGTATTGGGACGTCTGTGTGTGTGTGTGTTGGCGTGTCTGTGTGTGTATTGAGATGTCTATGTGTTTATGTTTATGTATGTATTGGGACATCTGTGTGTGAATGTATTGGGATATCTGTGTGTGCGCATATATTGGGATATCTGTCAGTGTGTGTATTGGACGCATGTGTATATATGTACTGGGGCATCTGTGCATATCTGTGATGGGACGTGTATTGTAGGTGGGTGTGCATTGAGACCTGTGTGTGAGCGTGTGTTTATGCATATGCGGATTCAATGCAAACCATATTGTACCAAATAATTTGACTTATTTCAAGATTACCCTCAATGATTGCATTTGTGTGTAACTCAGATATTTTCTCTCCTCAGAAGTAGAGAGTTCTGTTGATTGCCGCCGGGTAGAACAATGGTACGTACACAATAATTTATCAGTGTTGTTGGAGGTTTACGCTGTGAAAAGTCAAAAAATAAGTCAAAAAATAATGGAAATAATAAAAATCGCTGGAATTCAATTACCCAAACGTAAAGTTGGTTATTGTACGGTGAGAACTACACCGAGTATTGAGGTATATGAGAGTTGTATTTGACTTTGGGGCGAGCCAGACTGAGCACAGTGATCTGTTTCAGGTCCTCTCCTGCATCCCAACAACAACAACAACAACAATAAGATTCCATTAATAGAGCGCCTTTCACGTCGGGAGGACGTCCCAAGGCACTGTACAGTTGGGTCAGGACCCGAGCAGTGGGGGGAAATGGTCAGGGTGAGGGGAGGGAGGGGGCGAGGAGGGGTTAGAGAGTCGAGAGGGGAGCTGAAGGCTGAAGGTCAAAGAGAAAGGTCTTGAGACCGGCCTTGAAGGAGAAAAGGGAGGAAGCGGCGAAAGCACTGGGGGATAGAGTACCAGAGCCTCGGGGCTGAGAGGCTGAAGGGCGGTTGGGGCGGGGGATGTGGAGCAGACCGGAACCAGAGGAACGGAGGGTACGGGCAGGTAGGTAGGGGGATAGTAGGTCGGAGAGGTAGGAGGGAGCAAGGCCGTGAATGGCCTTGTAGGCGAGGATGAGCATCTTGAAATCCCAATATCCTTTAAGCATCTTAAAGTCATTTCCCACATCATGTGCGTGCACAGACCCGGCCCAAGTGGAGCAGAAGCGTGATTACACACCACGGCAGCACAAATGCAAAGGATCCAGATTGATTCGCAGTGTTTTTGCTCTGCGTGCGTGTCAGTCTTCCAGCCCTAACCCCAACTGTAATATACATATTATGAGAGCAATCCTAAGTTTACATATGAGAGCAATTCACGATTAAAGGCACAGCGTTCCAGGCTATTGACTGCCTTCAGCAGAAATGGGCCCTTTGCTATGAAGTAGTAGTAATTTAACTGTTTGCTGCTTTTATTTGTTGGCATTTTCCTAGGACTGGTTAGTTGTAAGGAGGGTTAGAGAAGATTAGGGCCAACGGACCTCCTGCTGTACTGTACATATTTGTGATCCTAACTTAGATTCTAACTTTTTATCCAGCTGATGCAAAACTCTGTTGCCTGCATACTGAACCGCACTAAACTCTGTACCCTCATCAGACCAGTTGTAGCCACTGGCTTCCTGTCGCTGAACGGATCGATTTCAAGATCCTCGCACTTGTTTTCAAATTCCTTCATGCCCCGGCACCTCCCTACCTCTCCAGCCCCACAACCTGCTGCCTCCACTTGACTGGCTCCGGCCTCCTGCTTGTCCCTCGTGCCCTTCATTCCACCATCGGCAGCCAGACTTCCAGCCACTACGCCCCGAAACTCTGGAACACTCTTCCTCTATCCCTCCACCTTGCCCCTTCCTTTCCCCGGGGTGTGTGTATTTGTGTATTGGCGTGTCTGGATGTATTGTGTCCCAATATAAATGCTATATAAATGCAAGTTGTTGTTCTTGTTAATTTATAGACTTCACGAATAACTCGAAAGGCAACTCTGAGCAATAAAGAGCCACTTCCAGAAGAGGAGGATGAGGTGCCATCCTTTCTTATTCTGTAAGTGCATTACTTCTGAATGGCTGAACTTTGGTGAAATTAAAAATATTGAGAATTCTTCCGGTTATTCTAAAAAAAGTGGATGATAGTTTAGTCGTTGATAGATATGGGGTGTAATCTGAAAGTGTTGGAATATTTTATTGCAAAATGTTTTTCTGCATGTGGTTTACAATTTTATCTTCAAAAAATTCTGTGAGACTCATCAGTGGAAATTTCCGTTCCCAAATCAGCAATGGTGCGAGTGGATTCCGCTCTCAGCGTCCATTAAAGTGCCCCTTCTTCAAAGGGGAAGGATATTCTGTTGAAGAAATAGTTAAAATGCAACATGCTTCCTTTTCTAGGTCATTAATATTTTTAAAATAAAATTCTCAAAGAGCGCTGGAAGACATCAGCGAGTTGGGCACTTTTCTGGTTTCACCTTCACCTCATCACCTTTAGAGCCAAAAATACAAAATAAGAAGGAGCTGAATCCCTGGGAAGTAGTGAAGGGCTGAGAATTAAAGGAGGGAAACTGGTTCATTATATTCTTGTATTTTCACTGCGTTTTTTTTTNTTGTGTAGAACATCTGACTCTGAAGAGGAGGAAGAAGAATGGGTTCCAGAAGTTAAAGTGGCAAAGAAGCCAAGAAAACCCACTGCTCCAAAAAAAGTGACTGTAAAAAAGCGAATTGTTAGAAGTACTGCAGCAAAAAAGACGCCAGTAAAAAAATCCACAGGAGCTAAAAAACGCACCAAAAGCACAGGGGTGGACGTTAAACGTGGACATAATGTAAAGGTACCTGAATGGCACCGCCTGTTGTTTGGTTGCAATTGCGTGCACGTGAGATGAGAGGAAGTTCACGGGCCCTGGTTTAGTAGCAACGGAGAAATGCGAAATCAGATATAAACCGCTTTACACAGACAGTGGTAGTAATGTGGAATTCTCCTCCACAAACGGTTGAAGTAGAGTCCGTAGTTTTTTTTAAAAAAAAGGCATTAGATGCTTAGAACCATAGAAATTTACCACGCAAGGGTTATTATTACGGACTATTGTTAAGGATCGAGCAGGACAGTTGGATTAGATTAGATTTCTACATGGAGTGCAGACTTGAGGTGCGAGATTGCCAGTTTCTGTGCTGTAACATTCCATGAAGTCAACAAAAATATAGCTTCAGGTTTTCAGCTTTGTACAGGGCGACCAAAAAGCCTTATTTTTCAGCGACCCTATTATCTAAAAAAATATCATTTCTTTAAGACCTATTAAGACATTGTAATTGTATCACAAGTTTTTGGTCACCCGGTATTACTGGTGGTGCTATTTATTGGTTTTAAACATCTATCTATTTAATCCTTGGATCATAATAGCGCAGTTACCTCCTAATTTAGATTTCTAAAAGAAAATTAACTTTTTTTTTTAAGCGGTTCTTTTTAGTTGGGGATTTATCAGATGTCATATTTTTTAAATGCAGTAATGCATCAAGGGATTGCAATAATTTGACCTTGTGATGTGTTCATGTGAATGAAACACACTCCCGTTATCTTGTGTTCTTTATACTATGCACATGGTTTTTGAGGGTGGGGGGGCACTAAAAAGCAAAGCATCTGCTTTTGTCATCTTTTTTTTTCCCCTGGTCGGTGTCTTACGGTGACAATGAAGGACAGCAAACCTCTGTACTGGACTGAGTTGCTGTTGCCACCTGCTGTACTGTTTCACTGCGTGTTACAGGGGAATAGTGCACTCGGTATTCTGAAAGAAAGTTGTATACGTTTAAGGCAGCAGTACATCTTGTGTGCAGATGTGATTGACAAAAATCTGCAGGAGCAAAGCACCAGATTGCTTTATGTTCCTGCTTTGTAGCACTCTCCTCGGCATCTCATATCCATATCTCATATGTTTTATGATGTGCGGAATAAAGTCACTTGTAACTGATCAGGAATGTGATTATTAGAACAGTTGAAGCGTGCAATTCGGGCTTTTCCGTCTCCGACTGCCAACGCAGAAAAATTCCCGAATTTCAAACTTCAAAATGTGTTTTCTTAATTAAATTGGCACCACTTTGACAGATGAGAAGCATGTGCGAATGCTGTCAGGTGTGAATGAGATAAGGCACGGGTGGATCAAAGGACAGATTAAAAGGTCACCATCTATTGGGTTCAATTTCAGATCTGGTTAGGGTGCGAACCAAGCAGAATTGATGAGATTTAGTCCCTGTAGTGACAGAAATACGCGTGTGGGAAATGTTCTTGGTATTTGAGAGTTTGGCATCAAAGTTAAATGTTTCACACCATTTTGTTGTTGCGTTCTGATGCAACTGTGTCACTTGATATTTGTGGCACAGTACCACTTGGATGTGCTGCAGCCATTGATGGATTGGACAGCCTTCCTTCTTTGATAGAAAGGTTTACATCACACAGCAAAGGTGCACTCCAACATCATGCATTGTTTAGGACAAGTTCCTGTTGTCCCCAAGGTTTCCTGGGAAAAGTTGCAGGTAGAACTGAGGTGTCTCTTCCTTCGCAGAGATTTGTTTGAGGGAAAATACAGGTCGTATCTTGTCGAACTGCAGACACTTGACTCATCTCCTTTACAATACAGTACGCTTCTCCTAACAATGCATCTTTTAAATAGTTTCATAAAATGTCACATCAAGCGCTGCAAAGCATTATCCTGCGTGAAAGGTGGTATGTAAATTGTTGATTAATGTGCTGTGCTGTTTCTGCTGATCTGATAAAATAGAAAACCCAGGGATGTTGAAATGTGCAGGTGGGACGGGGAAAGTCAGCTGTATAGCGCAGCGCACTATTGCAAATAATTACTCATTACCATGTCAAATTTTAGCCAAACGTGGCTATTGCAGAAATAGAAGGCAATGAAGAAGAGTCTTCTGGAAAGCTGCCGCCTGGGACGTGGAAGCCAAGGGATGATTTTTCAGTTGACTTCAACTTTGAAAGCAGTGGATCCAGCACACAACATGTTGGAAGAAAAATAAAGCAAGAGGTGTTGATTTTTTGTTGAATTTTTTCTTGTAACCTGCTTATGTGTGTTGTTCCTTTCCGATGTGAACGGCGCTATATTAATATTAATGTTCTCGCTGTAAACCATGGTTTGATTTTTTTCTAAACTTGCAGAGACAATCACTGGTTTTGATTGGCGATCAAGAGGATAACAGGATTGCTCGTGGTCAACAAAATTATGGAAACGACAAACCAGAACCCAAAGAAACAAAACCAATCAAGAAAGAAACGGTTCGGAGTGGATCTGATATCAGTCAGCCGTCAACCAACACAAATCTTGGCAGAAGGAAACTGAAGGAAGAAGGAGACATCAGTTTTACATGGAGGGAACCTCCTGCCAAAAAACAGAAGAAGACTGTGAGCTGCCCAGTAAAATTACAGAAAGGACTTATGGAGATTGGGAATTTCCAAATGAACTGGGACATAACTCAGGTAAAATGTCTAACATTATTCAGTTATAGTACCAAGGGTTTGTGCTTGAATCAGGGAGACTGGTATAAAGAGTGCTTGAAAGGATTTGTCACAGAAGATAGATTTTTTTTGTGCTGATTCTTGAAAGTGACAAGTTTTATTTAAGATATCCGGTATAAATTGCAGCCGTAGTAATACTCAATATCATACGTTCCTTAGGCTAAGTTTGTAGCACACGGATTGCTACTACTGCATCTGTCAGTTCAATGTACTGCATAAAGGAAGATGCTAATACAGGACCTGAGTACATTTTTGAAAATATTGTCTCCTCCACGTATAGTTTGATTTAATGAATTGCTGTTTCTCCATTGAAATGGATGAAGGAGCACACCAACATAAAATAATGGAAGTTTTAACCAAACGTAATCCTGAATTGCCCACCTCTATCCAAAGTCGTTTATTGTATCCTGTATCCATTTTCTCTCAGCTATTTGTTTTGCCTGTACAGAGTGATGATACAGTTATCTACAACTCTCCATCCAAATTTTCCTCGACTGAACTTCCTAACTGTCGAACATTTCTAATATTTTAAGAAAACAAGCTTTTATTGCGTTAACTGAATTTATTTGCCACCCTTCCTTTGGAACTGTGCTATTGTAGATCATTAAGACTCTCGTAATGTGTTTGGAGCTTTACCTAACCCCCGCTGCTGGGTCAAGCCCAAGCCCTTGTTACCTTAAGGATTTTCGTTTCAATTCTCTCCTCATTTCACCTTCCTGTCTGCGCTCTCCAAAAACTTCAACTGATCCATAATTCCTCCAGCCCTAATCCTTACCACGACGCTACCGCTTGCAACCGATTTCAATGGAATTTATTTTTGTTAAATAAAAATATGCTAAATAAATAGCCTTTTTTAAAATGTTAAATTAATTTATACAGTTTCCAGTAACTCACCGAGAATTGAGTTGCAGTTCCAGGTCTCCAAATGTCTGCACGGTCTCACCTCACCCTCACCTACACAATCTTCTCCTGCTTTAAACTACACATTGTATATTCAGCCTTTACTTACCCTATTGCTTGCTCCCTACTCCCTTTGCTCCATCAACAGTATCTGAGGTTTCACCGCTCTTGCCCTCTGGAATTCTGTTCCCAATTGCTTTGCTTTAGTGCCTTTCTCCCTGCTTTGAACAACCTCAACCTTTTAAATGCTTTTCAGTATCTTATTTTCTACTCTGTACCTATTAGTGTATTTTATCATGTACTTTTAAGTTATTCTATGACTGGAAGTTGTGGGGGAGAAATCATTCTAGAGGGAAGAGCCTTGCTCCCTCCGACCCTTTATATAATAAGGAAGCCAAGTAATGTAAGCGAAATGCCGAGTCTACAAAAAAAAGATTTTCTATTTGCTTTCTTTTTAAATATCAAAATGGACTACCAGACCTAACCCTCAGTTCTTTCATCCAGACTATTGCCCCAGGTTAGTGAGATAATGAAATTCCCACTGTTACTTCAGCCTTTATGACACTGTGTATGATTATGTTACTACCTGCAGGTTTTACATGAGCGAACAAATGTAGAACTATGGGTGTGTGCAAACCTCATTAAACTCTTCAAGGAAGAAAACACAATTCCATTTATTGCCCGTTATCGAAAGGAGCTCACCAATAACATGGAAGCTGATATTATACGAGAAGTACAACAGGCGCTGGAAGAATTGACGTGAGATATATTTGCAACCTATACCACAATGGATTCTATAGTTGAAGATAGTAAAGAGTTTTAATAATCTTATTTCATAGGTGGTGATCGTTTTATCTGAGATAAACTGATGGTATAGTGGTATGGCTTTGAATCTTTGAAATTATAACCCCTAACTTAATAACCTCTATAACATACTTGGGCTTTAGCTTAACCTTGTAGTACAATTTAACCAATCAAATTGTATTTGTATGTTGGGATAACCTAAGAGTTAATAATAATAATATGTGTAATTCAAAAAGTTTAGATAAACGGTGAAGTTTAGTTTGGATCTTGATGACCCTGCAGCACCAGACCAGCTCACGGTCCTTTCGATTAACTTTGTACCTGATGTAGGTTTAACATTTGATAAGAGGTAATTTTCTGTGATTACAGTTTTGAGTGTCATGTGAAGTTAAGGAGAAGCAAAGGATTAGTTGGTCAGTGACCACTTTGTTTGTGCAAGTTATAGTTGTACCCTGCTGCAGTATACGGGGGTGCTCTGAAAAACCATTGTCTGTTGGAAGTGGGTTACACTTCTTGCACTGACTCGCTGGCCGGCTTCCTCCGCATAACCCACACGCACAGAAGGGCCCCATGGCATTCAGTGACGTCCAAACAGCCGAGCCGACTTGCTGTGCACTTGCGCAGAAACTTTGGTGATATCAGCGGCGGTCATTGTCCCGATCGGTAATTGCTAACCAGTGGCCCGTTATCATGTGGTGCTCCAATTTCTGGACCCAAACTTGTCCCCGTCCCCCCCCAACCACAGTGTTACTACTGGATCTTGTTTAAACATTAATATATGCCAAAGCAGCAATGAAGAGGAGGGTTGGTAGCAAACTGGGAACAAGTTAGCTATGCAGCTTCTTGGTTGGGATATGCGCTTTAGTGAAACTCTTGCTGTCGTGTCTCTTTGAATTCTGCCCGAGTAGCACAGCAGGGTAGGGTACGACTGCGAGAGATGATGCAAATCAGATTAGATTTTTTTTTCTTCAAGGCTGATTTACTTCAGTTCTACGGGGACAGTGACTGGTAGCCAGACACTTTCTGTTGGGAGGCAGTACGGAAGAAGCAACCAGTGTTGTTTCTGAGTCGCTTCCACGGTGGCAAGTGGCTGGGAATGGCGTCCGTAGATTATTTACCTCAAATGGAAAATGTTTCTTGAGCTCTAAAATATTCGATATCTTGATTTCTGCGAATAACCTGAATGACTAAAAGTGCCGAATGTGTACAGTCGCTTTTTGTAAATTGCTGCCTTAATTTAAAAAGAAACTAATCTATTTATAGTCTAAATTCTATTATGCCCTGGCTAAATTCTTCCGCTTTTAGCATGAATACCACATTTTATTATAAGAGTGTTGCGGAGCCATTACAATGGAAGAGTCTGTGAAAAATCCTGTGCTGCTGTTGTGCTCCTATTCCGACTGTACCATTAATTTGACAGAACCAGCAGCAATACAGCAATCAATGTGCAAACTCGATGGTTCACTTCTGATTTTAATTTTCTGGCTGCCTACTTTACCCAGTAACTGGAGGAGGTCTGTAAACGCTGACATTGCAAAAACTCATCTGCCTGAGCGAATGGGCTGAGTGAGAGTTCAATCCATCAGGGAAACGGGCCTAATGATCCGACATGATCTAATAACGTGGCAGAAAAGGTTCTTTGGCCTGAATGATCTGCTCCTCTTTATACGTCACTATGTTGGTAGCCAAAACAAATCTCAGTTAATGCTGCCCCAGACCCAGGACTTGCCTCGTGGTGTAGATATTTTTCATGCCCTTTGGGAGGGAGGCCAGTGCAACTGGGGGCTTCGGGAAAGATCTTTCGGCCTGCTGCATTCGCATAGAGAAGAGCTGGAGTGAGTCTCCGTGCCTTTAGAGGCTGCACAACTGCTGCCTTTGGTGTAAAGGTTCAATCGATGATGACTGCTTTACTTTGTTTCCTATACACTGCAGTTTGCTTTGATGCCAGAAGATGGCATTCTGTACAGTCTTCCCCACGCCCTCCAATTATCTGAATAGCACAGCAACATGAACATGTTGGACAGTTAAGGACTAGTAACAATCTTCATGTTGTATTTTTTTTGCTGTTTAAAAGGAGGCAGTTGTTTCAGGGAATTTCAAACTGTATAACCTCTGTGTAGAATAATACAAGGCTTACTGCAAAGCATAATGCAGGTGACCGTTTCTTCTCCTTTTCAGCCAAGTTATGAAGAAAACGCATGCGTCCATTCAGAAAATAGAGAAACAAGATAAGCTTACGTCATATTTAAAAGTTGCTTTGTTGAACTGCAAGACTTCGGACGAAGTAGAATATCTGGTTAGTAAATTTTTTTTGTGTACAGTACAAACGTGCTACCGTGCAGCCCTGTTGTAACACACTGTTAGAGAGGTGGTCTATTTATGATGCGAATTGGATGTCGACTCCATTCACTGCAAATGCCCGCAGCCTGCCAGCTCACATGCCAGCTGGCTTCCCTTGCTAAAAATGGCCAATTTCCAAGTCATTATGTTTCTGCTAACATCTCTTCCCGTTACCCTGCACACGAACATCATGCAGGAAGTGATGTTGTTGGTGACCTGATAAGTTGGCTAAGTCGTGTATTCTAGCTCTGCGCGGCTGGTGAGGGAACCATAAAAGGTATCAATTGGAAGATGCTAGAGACAGTTGGTAGCATTCTCAACTCTGGGTTATGGGTTTAACTCTCACTTCGGGACTTTGAACTCACAGGCTAGGCTGACGCTCCAGTATAGTTCTGGGACAATGCTGCATTGTCAGAAATGCCGTCCTTCGGATGATATGTTGAACTGCCTCGTGTCCTAACCAACGAGCCTCCTTATTAAAATTTCATGCCCTCCGTGGGATATTTGTGGCATGCTGCTGTGCGAAAATTGTCTGCGGTGTTCGCCTACAAAATAGTCATTTCACACTTTCCCTTGAGGTGCTTTGAGACATCTTCACGACTGAAAGGTGCTAGATCAAGTGTAAGTCTTTTTTTTTTATGCACGGCGTGCCATTCCTTTATCACGCTAAGTACATTCCTGATTCTTTTCAGTTTGCTCCTTATAAAACTGGAAGTAATCAGACAAAAGCTCAGAAAGCCCGTCAGCTTGGCCTAGAACCTGCAGCAAATCTGTTGATCGAAAACCCCAACCAACTCAATCTACACAGCCACATTCGAGCAAATATCAAAGGTAAGTCGTCACTTCAGATTCATGTTGATTAACTCATTTTATGATTCTCCCCTGCAGGAGGAGGAAAATCACTGAAGGAGAAGATCCCCTTGAGCCTTCGTTATAATAAGGTCATCAGTTTTCTTTCGGTCCCGACGCAGACAATAGGATTTCTTTCCTTGTTTGAATGAAGTATGATTTCTAATTTGAACTATGATGAGCATTTATATCTCACCTTTCTACCAATCTTATCAGCATGTCTTCCCATCTCTTCCCCCCCCCCCGACCCCCTCGCTGCCCCTATCCTATCTTAATGTGTAATAACAGGCCACCGTTAACTTAAAGATTCCAATGCCTTGGTGCTCTGCAGATCAGAACATGTGCCCTATTGAGGACTGGCTGCAGGGCACATGTCAGCAGAACACGTGACCTGTTGCGTCACTGTTGTGTGCTGTTGGCACTCTCGCCTCTGGAGTCAGGAGGTTGTTGTGTTCAAGCACCACTTCGGGACTTTGAGGTCACAGTCTAGGCTGAACCCCTCATACAGTGCTGAAGGAATGTTGCATTGGTGGAGGTGCTGTCTTCCGATGAGACGTCAGAAACCCGAGGTCCTGTCCAGGAGGATGCTAAGAATCGCTCGGCACTATTCAAAAAGAAGGAAGTTTATCTTGGCAAGCAATCCTCCAGATAAAGTTGGTCATTCACGTTATGACCGTTTGTGGGACATTGCTGCGTATAGATTAGTTGTCGAGGTTGTACTTCAAAATGCAGTTTCTGCACTTTAGAGTGTATCCTGTGAAGTACTTTGAGACATCCTCCTGACATCGTAATAATAATCTTTGCATTTGATATAGTGCCTTGTCACGTCTCAAAGTGCTTCAATATACTGTAAAGTGAATTGACTATATTTTGTGGGCGATACATAAAAGTGCTATATCAAGTGCAAGAATTATTATTGTATAATTTCCAAAGTGCACTTAGGATTTGGGGTTCAAGTGGTTGATTAAAGCAAAAAATTAGCCCCCATAATATACTACAGGGTAAAAATTACAAGGTATGACATGCATAATTACTGACTGGCTCCTGAATTTGATTCTCCAGGATTTTGAAGCTCAAGGCAATCTTTGCTTGGTCAACAACATATTCACCACTTTGTCAAAAGATTGACTGACGCTGGTTATCTGGTTCATGCCCTAGTTGGGACTTCATATCATTGTCTATGGTGGAGTCCTGTAGCTCAGTGGTTAGAGCACTCGCCTCGCAAGCGAGAGATCTGGATTCGATTCCCGGCGGGGCGAAATGTTGGGCGAGTTTCCTTACTCCACACGCCTCTGTTTACCTAGCCAGGAAGGAAGCCAATGTGGGACACTGCTGTGTGCAGTTGGCTGCCACGTTTCATCCACAAAAATATCAACTATGTTTTGCCCACAAAATATACAGTGAATTCACTTTACAGTATATTCTGTGAAGCGTTTTGAACGTCTCGAAGACGTGATAAGGTTCTATATCAATGCAAGGATTATTATTTTTTATTATTACTCCAGTCCAGTGACTCCCCACTACTGGACTGCAGTGTCAGCCTAGTTTGAGCTCTGACCTGATGTCTCCTTATAGCCATGTTCCTGGTGATGTATTAGGGTTTCCTTGCAGAAAATGAAATTTACATCACAAGGAAATTTTTGTTATTACAAATTTATTTTGTTGGGGCACAGCTCACCGGTACCTGGCTCTATTGATGCTATGTGTACTTGGATATTTTTTTTTGATGTTTAAATGGAATTCATTACGATTTAATCTGATCTTGCCCTCAGCCAACATTGATGCTTTTCAGCACGGCTCAGTCGTTTGTGATTTCAGGATTCGGAATCTAGTTTGTTCTCTCTTCTTTCCTCTTCTGCCCTCATTCCACACATCAAGGGATGTTCAGGCGCGCACTGCAGCATTTCCAAGACTACTTTTGCTGATATGCATGAACTCTGCAGAGCAGGGATCGAATCTTGGAATGATAATAATCCTTGCAATTAATACAGCGCCTTATCACGTAGTTGAGCAATCCCAAAGCACTTCACGGAATATACTATAAGGTGGATAGACTGTTTTGTGGGCAAAAGGCAGCAGCCAATTGCGCACATCAGTGTCCCACAAATAGTTGTTGGTTGAAGTGACCAAATTATTTTTAGAATATTTTTTGGAGGGAATATTAGCTCCCGAAAGCGATCTTGGACCTTCTTGGTCTGACTCTTGGTGGTGGATATACCCATTATAATTTTCTTTGGGGGGGAGGGTGGGGGGACATATTAACTATTGCAGATGTATTGGATTGCAGATAAAAAATCTAACTTTGGAAGAAATAAGCACAGATTTTTTTTTCAATCAACTGAGAGATTGCCGCATGGCTATTTATTTTGCCCGGAATGATTTGCCCAGTAGCGTTGAATAGTTCAGATCCACTTTGGAGTTAGGGTCCTTTTAAGCTTACCGTTTGTGACAAACATTTGGATGAAATTGTATTGCACAATCACTGGGAAACCTTTAATTAACCATGGCACTCAAAATTGCTCTGCACTTGCAAGCCTTAAGGGTGAATCAGTAGGTGGCTTCTCAAAATGTAGTATCTAATTAAACGCCACTTTGTACAGATTAAAATAACTGTCTTGATTTAATTAATTTCAAATGTTAGTTTAAGCAAATACTTCAAAGTGCCACCTCTGCTATTCCCACCTGCCACTGCTTTGTACAGCAGTAATTGAATTAATTTTAGTAGGTGTTCTGGTTGTCGCTAATTGTTAGCCCAGCAACCAAATGAGATTTTTTTTAAAAAAAAGTCATCTTGTCGAATAATTTTTAGCGTTGATGCAAAAAAATCGGAATGCCAGTTGTAGAATTGTTATGAGTAGTTACATGAGTAATACTCCAGAGGGCATTCTATGACTGCAAATTCAGTGGCATCTGAGCATAGGTTTTGTGATGCCGGTCGCCTTTCTGAAACCCAACCTGTAAATTAAATTTTACTGATGGAAATCGAGGAGAAAGAGTGCAGGACAAAGCTACTTGGTTTCGTAATCTCGTTAGTACAGTGAAAGAGGTCCGCAGTGACAAATGAAAGGATAGAGTGGATTGTAAAAAAAAACCACAAAAAGGAACCCTGTGTTTAATTCAACAGTTTTCAAACCTCCATTTTACTTACTTTTGTACTAAGGAGTTTTGAGTCTGTAAGTGGTTAATGCAGAATGCCTGGCTTTACTGCTAGGGTTACCGCAGTGCAGGAGAAAGAAAAGGGTTTGCAGCTGCTACTGTGGGGAGCTGAATGAACAGTAAATTGAATTTAAATCACTGTTTTTCGAATGTTTGTTTCCAGTTCCCAGTAGCAAGATCCTATTATTTTAACACTTTATTTGGTGCAACATTGGAGTAAGATGAGCCCACAATATTTGTTGCAATATCTTACCTTCTAAAGTTCCTAGCAAGAGGAATATCTGGCCACCGATAGTTAATAAAACTAATAATAATCAGATGAAGCTTCATTAGAAAGAACGTTTAAGAGTGGGGGGATTGGAAGGAAAGCATTTTATTTGAAGGAAAATATTTGCTTTGACTAGCAAATGTCCTTGTTTATGTCCTCATGTCATAAACCTCAGAGAGCAAACAACTGATTGACCTTCTCATGGATTTCCAGTAATATTATAGTTTAGCCATCCAGTACAAGATGCAACAAGATGTCTTTTATGTACAAAGTTGGCCATGTGCCATCCATCACCAAGACCACAGTCTCCTTACCTTGTCTCCTGGTACCTAGTTTAAGATCCAGGATTGTTTTTTCAGCCTATTTTCCAGTCTGTACTCTCAGCTCTTCTAAATCTAATTTACTGATTATTCCTCTTTTATCCTACTACGATGGCTGAACTTTCAAACACCGAGCTCTTGTCTTTCAGGACTCTCTTCCAAAGCACTTTACCTCGCTAACTCTCTCCTTTCCTTCAAAAATTTCCTGTAACATAAGTTATTGTTGAAATTAAATTAAACGTCAGCGAATGAACCGAAACAATCTATTTTAAAGATGCTGTGGTTGATGATCCCTAGGTCTTTCTACACTGGCAGAGGTAGAAAAAGGAGTACAGCATATTTTGGCGGATATGATGTCCAAAGATAGGGATACGCTGGATTTTATATGGAAACTGTGAGTATTTGTTCAATGTTAAACTGTTTTATTTATCAAATAGCCAGTAATAATCCTGAAGTTTAATATAGTGCCTTATCACTTCGTCAAGACATCTCAAAGCACTTCACAGGATTTTGGGGTCCTTGCAAACAAGTTTGTACGGCATTCATGAAGATGAGCAATGTTTTGCGGTCAAGCTGCTTCCTGTGTGGGTATTTTGATGAAAAGTCTACAGGTCATCAGATATAACAAAAGAGTTGTTTCCCAATGAAGGAGTGCAGGCCATTCTATTGAAGGGTGCATGAATGCTGAAGGCTATGACCCAGACTTTTGGGCCAGGTATGCACGGTTGTTCTGAATCTGGATAATGAGTTTGTGAATTAAATGCTATGTTTGGAACACTGAGCTCCAGTTAGCCTTGCAAAGCAAAGTCCTAACGGTAGGGTTGTCCTAGTTGGACGAGCAGCTTGCCAGACAGTGCTTTCAATGTCAGGCTATGTTTTAGCAGATTAAATTGCAGCAATAGAGTCTAGAGAAGCTAGGATTATTCTCCTTGGAGCAGAGAAGGTTAAGAGGAGACTTAATAGAACCTGAGGTAACCTGAGGACACCGATTTAAAATAATTGTTAAAAGAAACGGGAGGTGAGGAGAAATGTTTTCACACAGCGAGTTGTTCGGATCAGGAATGCATTGCCTAAAGGATGGTGGAAGCCGATTCGATAACAGCTTTTAAGAGAGAAGTAGATAATTATTTGGGAAGGACAAGTTTGCAGGCTATGCAGAAAGAGCGGGGGAGTGGGATTGAATGGGATAGCTCTTTTCAAAGAGATGGCACAGACACGATGGGCCGAATGGCCGCCTCCTGTGCTGTATAATTCTATGATTCAGTCCGCCAACTCGCCTTGGATTTTACCAACCTGCACCTAATATTCTCAGGAATTAGGTAACCAGAGTAGGTCCCTCAGGGAGTGAGTGTGCATTCATTCCAAACATGGAAATCTCCATGTGTAGGTAGCGTGCATGGAACTCTGTCTGGTTTCGATATAGGTAAGCATGGTGATGGGTTTCCATGTCTCAGAAATCTGGCTGGCCAAAGAAAAAATGACTGTGAATGAAACGGTTTATTTGGCAGTAATTCTGTTCCAATATGTCAAGTGAAAAATGAATTCAGGTCAATATTCTGTAAGAACTTCCAGTCGTCGTAGTTTCCATGAGATTTGTCATGATGGGCGCAGCGAGATTGTTGTCTCCAGTTTAAAGATCAGACTTTGCCTCTGATAGTCCACGGGAGCTTTTTGTTTTGCACCTTGATGGGAGCCATAGAAACCACAAATAATACGCAAATTCTAAACTTGCAGCAATTAAACTGATATTTGACGACGAAAAAATAACCACCTTAAAATTGAATTGACGGCTTCCCGCACAATCTCTTTAAAATATTGAAATGCACTGAAAAGTCGCTGAAGCCAAAGAAAAAGCAATCCTGAATAATTTAAATGTCCAAAACTGCAGAGGAAAGAAACAAATGGGCTGCTTCAGGGTATACTGTCATAACCGTCTGCTTCACACTCCTTGTTAGCACAACTGACTCTCGCGTGGAAGAAAAGGATAGCTTAACTGTGCTTGTGATTACAGATGGCAAGCTAAAGAGCAGCTCGTTTGGCACCTGATTATGAGCAGCTTCTCTGTTTTCCTTTCCCACTTAAGTCTTTGGCTTGCTTAATTGTTTTGTATTCATTCTCCTGCCCGTGTTTTAAATAGTGCAATTTAAAATAACCGACGCACAAAGCTCCATTCAGAACCCGGTGCTCAAACTGTTAAGTTCAGGTTTGAAGCTCTGTTCCAGCTTGTTTGCACTTGTAACGGTTCTGATTTTAAGTCTGGCTAATCATGAACTCGCAGGAATGTCACTGTGGCTTGTTCAACATGATTTCCACACTTGGGAGCCTCTTACATTGAGTCTCTTAATGCTGGCTTTACATCCTGTCGCTGCAACATGAGTCATTCTCAAATGGTAGGGCTGATGGAGCTCAGTTTCCAATGCAGTCCCGGCAGGTTTGTTTGTCAATCTTGGTGTTTCCATATTTTCAAACCATTAAGGTTTGACATTGTACACATATGGCAGTCACTGCATATATGATGTGATAATACTGTACACCAGCATGGACTGTTAATTTTTCCAATCAGCTGGGAGCTGAGCCCACATTATCTAGCCTTTGGGAAAAGAAAGGTCAAATGTGCTCATGTGGAACATATCATTTTGTGTTATATGGGTAATCATGTTGCACATTCTACATATGCATGGAATGCATTTTCACCACTGTCCGTTCAGCATCAGAGTGTCATTTTGAGTCCAAGGCACAACTAATTTCACCTGTAAGAATAGTCACCATATTTTACAGTGAATTCTGTGAAGACTTCCTCAAGGCATGAAAACCCCTGTATCGAGTGCAAGGATTATTATTATATCACCATAATTCAGCTGTGAAGTCAGTCACTGACTGACCTGTGGTGTAAACCCAGCATGAGATTGCTGGAATCTGTTGTGATTGATTTCTGGCCTGATATCTGATTCCAAGGCCCAGTGTGAAGTATTTTGCACAATGCCATAAGTTTGTATTTTTTTAACGTGACACAATATTGAGGTACTGAAATTGTCACTCAGCTGGTACAAACCATGATGGTGATTCCTCTTACTGTTAAGTGCAGTGGGTTTTGACAATATGATAAAATGAGCTTGTACTGGGATTGTTTTCATTGTATGTGGGGGAAAAAAATCTCAGTACAAGCTCATTTTATCAACATGTCTACGCTGAGTGGCAACACAAATTTCTCAACATGTTTATCTTAAAGAAGATTGGTAGGATTATCTCAGACTTTTAAACAACTTCGAATCTGCAAACATGTCTATAAATTAATGGAGTCTTGCAGCATATTCGTTGGAGCACTTGCCTCGCAAGCAGGAGGACCTGGGTTAGATTCCCGGGCAGGGCGAAACGTTAGGAGTAAGCCTCCTTACTCCACACGCCTCTGTTTACCTAACAGTAAATAGGAACCCTGTACTAAGTCGATTGGCAGATCCTTTTTCCCGGGATAATAACCCATTCAAAAAATAATTAATAATAAAAGGTTACTCAATCCATGACTCTGTGGGATACTGTTGTGTGCAATTGGCTGCTGTGTTTCGCTCACAAAAANTATGCAGTCAATTCAATTTTGCATATATTCTGTGAGGCTCTTTGAGACTTCTCAAAGACGTGATAAGGGGCCATATAAATGCAAGGATTAGTATTAACTCAGAAATCTTATGATGTCCTGCTTTTAGCTGTCAGTTATTAATAATACTGCTCCTTAAATTTGACATGTTGAGACACGTCAAAGCTCAACGTGCTGGGAAGTGTAGCGACTGAACTTGTAGGCGAATGTCCCACAAACCGTGTTGAAATGCATGACACCTGTTTAGGGAATAAACAGCGACTGAATGTAGTGAATGCAACACCAGAAAGAACAAAGAAATGGAGATGTTCCCAATTCATTGGGGAAAAAAGGGACTCAGATTTGGCACTGAAGTAGCACTAGATCAAACTGTTTGGGTCACAAATTAAGTTTTGGGCAGTGGTGATTCTTGGTTGAATGAGTGATATTTCTTTTATTCTTAAAACACTCAGCATATTCAGCCTGACAGCTTTCTTTAAAATATTAATCGGTGTTGAGCAGTTTTAAAAAAAAAAGAGGAAATAAGTTTTGTTTCCTCTCTTCACCCCCTCTCCCTAAATCCCGTACTATTACCTGATCAGCGGACAGGTTGCCAGGCATTTAATCTGCGCTCAGAATAATATTTGGCGTTTTTATTTTAAAGTTAGCTTATCCTTTCATCAAGGACAGGATAAAATCGCTTTGACTCCATCTTGACAATATGCACACTCTTTACTCAGCCATTTAGTAATACAAATTACATGAACAGATTCAGCACTCAGCATATTTTTCAATACAAAGCCCAAGGCTGTGCTGACCCTTTTCAAGGGAAAAAGTCTCCTCCAATAAACGGAATTAAGGGAGATGATCTAAGGATACTTCTGTGCTAACGTACACTCGTGTTGGCAGAAGCTGAATTTGTACCTCAAGCAAATATGTACTGAATGAGTAATGTTCTTAACCAAATCTGGACCCCACACTTATTTTATCACTTCTTCCCAGAAAACGTAGAGGGAAAGCAATTTTCTTTTTGATGTGTGGAATTTTCCATCTTCCCCTTATCCATAAGGCTGCGCATTTCCTGTGGGCTGAAAGGGTGTGAAGGTAACCTACTCACCTCAGAATTGTGGTTAACTGGCCCTCAACTGTGATTGATACCCTCTGTTAGAATTCATTTCCTCCCGCTTCTCCCACCAGCAGAGGTCTGTGGCCTTTGAACGGTTGTGATTGAGAATTCAGAGTTCAGGAATCAAGCCTTTCCCATCCAACTCGTGTTCCACTGCCCAGTATTGGAATGCTGTTCTCACCAGTTTGATTTTGTAATGCCCCTTGATCCCTCCGCAAAAAAGGTTCAGGAAGGTGTCTCCTATTCCTCTGACCCTTCCTTACATGTTTTTTTGAAATCATTGCAGTCTGCCGTGTCTCATCTGGGTGGGTTGCAAACCTAGTTGCAGGATATGTTTTACCCAGAGATGGAGACTGACCTTTCGCCCACGAATATACAGTCAATTCACTCATCAGTGTATTTGTGAAGCGCTTTGAGATGTCTCATAGACGCGATAAGAATACTATACTAGTGTTCTTATACTACTCAAATGCTAGTATTATTATCATTTGTGACTTACTTAAATTTCTTCCAGTCTGAGTCACAGTCCTTGGGTGGAACCTGTATTCCTTCTCTTTGATGGGATCATCACCAGGTTCCTGAGTCCGTGGTCGCAAGAGGCCATTCCCAGAGGAAAGGCAATATATTCAAATCTAGTGAGATCCAACTATGTTTTTAAAGAAAGCAATTGGCTAAAGGGAGTCTTAATTTTTATAATCTTGTTGTGAATGGTTGCTCTGTTCCCTGAGGCCAATGTGCTGAGTGAAGGATTGCTTAAAATTAGCAATCTTTTTTTGAGGTTTCCCTTTATAAACAAGCCGTGAAAAGATCATTCTTTTTAATGATTGGACCCAAACCATTTAATTTACTAAAATGACTGTTGGTACATTTCAGAAGAAGAAAAAAACAGGGTTTGCCATCGAAGCTGTGTTTGATTATTAGAATTCTGAGATGTGCTGATTGGATTGTCGAGGGGGGGATCTTTTGAGCAAAATGTATGTGGTTTTACTAATATTGTTATCGTGCTTTGTGTGTTGGTAGGTGTGATCAAAATATGGTCCTCATTCAGTCAACTTTGCTAAAGGCAGCTACAAAGCAGAATGCTGGAACCAAAAGAGATACTGAGAAATTCCATCTGTACCATAACTTCAGCTGCAGTATTCGAACCATCCACCATCATCAGGTAGGCACTACAGCTTCAGATTTTGAAGGTGAATCTTGTAACTGATATAAAGTAGGGATATTCTTGCGGAATCATAAAATTGTTCACGTCAAACAACTGTTCCAGCATTTGAAATGCCTTTTCTGCCTGCATCGACATTCCGTTTAGTTCTATGAGTTAAAGATGGGGTATTTCTGAGCTACTTTTTGTAATTGTCTTTGTTTGTGAAGCCATTCGCATGTCTGGTCTGGGGTCAGGATTCACAGGCAATAGCAGCCATTAGGCGCCACTCACCTGTGTGATCATTCTTCATGAGCAAGCTGGAAAATGATTGTCCAGCAAGATATTGTACATGGAGGCATTGCATCCAAGTCCAATCCTGTTCTCAACAGATTTCCACGCAAGTAGATTCCAGTAAAGTTCAGTGGAATGTGGTTGGGGAAGGCTGAATTGCACTTTGGTGTAAATGTGGAGTCCTGCGGCTCAGTGGTTAGAGCACTCGCCTCGCAAGCAAGAGACCTGGGTTCTATTCCCGGGCAGAGGGCGAAACGTTGGACAAGTTTCCTTACTCCACACACCTCTAGCAGTCAGTAGGAACCTGGTTGTTAGTCAATTGGCAGATCGCTTTTCCGGGAGTAATCATTCCTTCGAAAAAATATAATAATAATTTGGTCACTCAATCCACGACTGTCTGTGGGGACGCTGCTGTGCACAATTGGCTGCTGTGTTTCGCCCAGAAATTATGCAGTCAATTCACTTCACAGTATATTTTGTGAAGCGCTTTGAGACGTCTCGAAGTCGCAGTGAGACCCAAATGCAAGGATTATTGTTAGTCAAGATAATTTGTATTTCTTAATGTTCTGTCTGGGAGGGGGAGAAATGCTCTGACACAAATTCGAAGGCAACGTTGGCTCTGCGTGTATACCGATGCCTGTTATTTTATACAGTCTGCTGCTCGTTGGGCTGTTGTATTGCGCATCTGGCGTTAATGCCTCCAGGTTTCAAATTGCACTTGTGCAGGAATTATAATTGCACTTTTCCAGTGACAAACTGGGATTGAGTGGGTTAGGATTTTCTGAAGCAATGCGAAACTGATTTTCAGATGCTGATCTGGTTCAACCATCTAACTTGAACCGACTCCGATTCACAATCTAAAGTTGAAAGAGCTGACGGGATCTCTCTCTCTCTCTCTCTCTCTCCCCCCCCTCCCCCCCCGCACCCCGCGCGCAAAAAGTGTTGTAGGTTAGCGGGAGAACAACAGAATAACTTGCCCAGTCTCTGGGTGACGTGCAATGCTACTTCACGTCAAGCCAGTTGGTGCTGAAACCCGAAGGACAGTAATTTTGCCTCGATTCTAAGAGGATTTCTCCTGCCAGATTGAGGAGGGCCGTAATCTTTATCTCAAAAAGAAAGTCGGATCGTCCCTGGCCTAATTTGATTTGGGGTATTTTAACTCGGGAACCGCTGACAAAAAAAGAAATACGTTCAGTGTTGACCTTATTTGGCAGGCAGTTAAGCACAGTTTGAACTTTAGCTGGCTGTTGTTATGGGCACAGAATATCGAGTTCGTGGAATTAATCACGTTGTTTGCCTGTCACGTCAGCGAACGACTTTTTTTTTCTTTTTTTTTTGGGACGATTCTGAGAGAACAAAGAATTAAATTTGTCATTTGTTTCCCGCTCACTTTCAGGAGGAACATCGACTTTGGCAGTGTGGAGTACTTTCTGTTACATTGGCTTAGATGTGATGCACATAACGGTTTTTGTTACTTACTTTTTTTTTGTCCAATAAAATGTCAAGCCGTTTCTGTCACTGGTGTGGTGACGCTGATGTCCACAAATCAGTTTTGTGCCTTGCAGCCATATAAAACCATTGTGTTTAACATATGTGACATGTCTGAGTTCGCCTATAATTGAATTAAAGCTGTCTTAATGACACACAATGCGCCGTTGTGACAGAGCTTTGAGCCTGTAACAAGTCAGAGGTTATTTGTCGACAGAGCAAAAATATTCTTTCAAATGTCATTTTTTTTTTCTGGTTCGAAATTTGCAACGAATGTGTGGCATAGCTCATATTTCACCATGCAATTTCACATTTTGCTCCCTTTTTATATAAACCACCCCCACCCCCCCCAAAAAAACCCTCTTATTAACCATTCTCGCCTTCACACAGCCAGTGCCTTTTCATGTACAGCGACCGGGAACTCTGCTTGCTGCAGGGTGATGCGCACTGTCAAGTCTTTCCTCTTTCCAAGGTGAGATGCTCCTCTTCCATAAGGCATCCAGTGTCGCAGCCCAGTTGACACCGACAGGCCTCATCACAAGTCTGTGGCAGGTGGATTTGTGGTTCAGATCTGTGACTCGAACATTGTTCGGCAGGTCCCAGAAATGGCACAGTGCTGGCCCTTGAAGTGTGTGTTTCTTTTTATTTTAAAATACCTTTTTCTTTTTTTCAAAAGAAAAACGTGGTTTGTTAAAAATGAAGACTGCGTGCATTCGAAGCATAAAAGTGAAGCTTGTGTATAGATGAAGGGTATAGTTATGGTTTCACAGTCTTGCAAAGCTTTCTATCCGGCCACTTTATACCCTGGACTAAACAAACTCGCTGAATGGCTGAGGACATTTTAGACAAAACATTTTGTCGGCCTTTGTGGTAAAATTTAAAAAAGAAAGTTTTGAAGTTTTCTTTTTAAGCAGATTCGAGTTATTCTCACCCAAGTGTATGTGTTTTGCATGCTATTAAAAAAAATGTGTCCACCGTAATAGTTTTTCATTTGTACAAACACTGTTAAGTATTTGTTCTTTTTTTTNCCAATTAAGAGCTGCACAATACCATTGAGAAATTCAATCCACGACGCTTAGATTTTAGGAATTTCGAAGGTGCAGATGAAAGAAATAACAATAAAATCATTCAGAAAAGAACTTTGATTATGATACGATGTGGACTGGAAGTGGTACAGTGTTTTAGTCTTAAATGCAGACTAGTAGCTTGTGTAGTTACGGAAAGTATAACCTTTTGAAATGCTGCACATCAAGCATTTCAATTTTAGTGCTGCTGACTATTGTAAATTTATAAAGTGCGCTGAGTAAGTGCGAGTTCCCTTTTGCGCACCGGCAACGAGTTAAAGCATTTAATTAGCTGCATACATCGTTGTTTTTGAGTCCTTTTAACCTGCAAATAGGTACAGAGCTCAGGGTCAGGGCAAATGCTTGGTCTTGCGAAATACACTTATGATGTCTAATGTGTCCAAAGGTATAATGTTCCAAGGATCTAGATGTTTTTTCCGCATTTTAAGGGCACGCATACACTGTTTTTTAAATTGTGTTTTGTCTGAAATTTAAGTTTAGCTTTCTGTATTTTTAAGCTGTCTTATTTCTCGGATATCAAACTTCTATCTTGGAAATACTCGCCAAATCTGGAAAACAAGTTGATACTAATTGAACCAGACTCTACTATCTTCTGATGTCTTCTCTCACCTCAAGTCCTGTCGCCCTGAGGCTGTTGCCTCCACCCTCCCATATGCATATAATTGGTATCAATATTTTTTAAAAAAGAATTCAGCACTGCTGTGAAGTTACAAGCGACTTTTGAGATAATAATCCTTGCCTTTGATATAGCGCCTTTCCCGTCTTCGAGACATCTCAAAGTGCTTCACAAAATAAACTGTAAAGTGAATTGATTGCATAGTTTGTGGGTGAAATATTGTGAGATCTCTATATCAAACAACTAACCCCTAACAATTTCTGGACTGGATTGGCCATGTAAAATTCACTGTGTGGACACCAGCATCTTGCTAAATAATAATAATAAATAATAATCCTTGCATTTGATATAGTGCTTTTCACGTCTTCTCGACGTCTCAAAGCGCTTCGCAGAATAGACTGTAAAGTGAATTGACTGTATATTTGTGGGCGAAACGCGGCAGCCAATTGCGCACAGCGCTGTCCCACAAACAGTCGTAGAATGAAAATGACCAATTTATTATTGTTTTGTTTTGGAGGGATTATTATTAGGCTCTGTGTGGAGTAAGGAAACTTGCCCAAGGTTTCGCCCTCTGCCTGGAATTGAACCCAGGTGTCTCGCTTGCAAGGCGAGTGCTCTAACTACTGAGCTACAGGACTCCACTGATGCAGATGGTACGGTGACCTACATCAACTTTACTTGCATTGATTTAGCGCTCTTCACGTAGGGTAACGTCTCAGAGTGCTTCACAGTGCTTGGGTCGGACACCACGCTGGGGGTGACCAAAGGCGAAAAGGTTGGTTGAAAAGAGATATTAGAAAGGTATTAAGTTGCTGAAAAGTGCAGGGTTGCATTCCAGTCTGATGAGATGATTTTAGTTATAAAACTGCAGTACGGGGTTTTGTGAATCCATTGATTTTTACTGGTAGTGGCTTAAAGCAAGAGAGCTTAGCTTTTTGTTATAGCAATTTTTTTTAAAAAAGTACGAATAATGAACCCTTGCATTTGGTATAGCACCTCATGAAATTGTGGGAAGGCCTTGAGGGGCTTAACGGGATTTACTATAAATTGTAGTGACTGTATTTGTAGGTGAATTGGCTAGATTTCTATTGAGGTTTACGGACGAATAAATTGGCAGGGGTTGGTTGTAAGCACATTCTCAATGACCGTGCTGTTGTGATTAACCCAACGGGTTTCAAAATAGAGTGTATATAGGTTTTCTCGATCCATGCCTGGGATTAGCTTTCTAATGCATGGGTTTGGGCAGTTGGAGTGGATGTGATGGATCAACAGTTTCAGACTTTCCTAAGCCCCTTGTGAGCATTGACGTAAGATTAAACTTTCTGGTATTTGATTAGCAAAAATCCAACCGATGTACAAACGTTTTATTTTCCTTGCGGCTTTAGCTTTCACAAATTCATGCAAATTTTTTTTTAACCGCAATTTTTTTTTGTTCAAGCTTGCCTTGAGGATCGTATTCGATCCAGTTACATATCCCGAGTCCCAGAATGCGTTCTACATTTTTGTTCCCCTGACTTGTGGGTAGTAGTTAATGAAGCCTAGCTGTTAAAACATCTTCCTCATTGCGCCATCTGTTTCAGTGGAAGTCATTCCTTTGAACAAATTTGTTTTTTGTGTGTGCGCCACTAAATTCTCTTCATCCCAGTTGCATTTAGCGGCAGAAAGCAGGAGTAAGGAGCTTGGTTTGTGCTGTCGTTCCTAACACTTGCGCGAAACAAATTTCAGTGAAAAGAGCTTTCGTATTTTAATGGATGTCGGGGGGGGGGGGGGGGGAGAGACATTTTAGTTGCCAATAACATGTGGTGAGGGGTGGGAGGGCAGGTTTTTGTTTTCACTTATGGGACATTGCTTTTCTTTTCTCTGTTCCTTCTCTCCTGAAGTCACTGGAGTATGGTTCCTTTGATGCAGGCACTCCTTTAACATCTCACCCTGGTGACTATTCAACTTGAGTTGACGGCAGCCTATTCGACTGTGCAGGGCATTACTTTTGAGCACGAATCTGCAGGGCGTTTCCTAGATTGCTAAATCTATTATTTAGAATACTGTACCTTTTTTAAAAAGGCCACATTAGTGAGGTGCTTGTTCAATTCAGTTTCTGCTGTAGAGATGGCTAAAGCCACTGATTATCTAAAACTTCATCCAAAGTTGTTTATCAGGGAAAAGCAATTTTCTTGAAATGGATTTGACAGCACAAAATCTTAATGTCTACTTTCTTTATTAGCCCTGTGCAAGTATCTGGCTCCAGCAGTTACCTGCAAATTGCACTATTACTGGTTGATACTGTAATGCAGATGTATCCTATGTGGATTTGCCTGAGTAATTATAGAGAGCAATGGCTGCCTGAAAGTGAATCCAAGTCAGAAATTGCACTGAAAAGTTCAGGTGGTGTCCTAAATTATGATTCTCAAGTAAGAAATTACTTTATAATTTTCTCCTGACCACAAGATTAAATTGTATCCTCAAATAGTTGCCTGCCATGTTAGTGTATTAATGTTTAACATTTTCTATGGAGGTTTCATTCACTGTTTGTGCTGAAAGTGACTATCTGTGCAGACCATATCTGTTTATGTGTGTGCCTCTGGTGTATGGTTACATTCATACAAGAGCATTAATAATTGGTGTGCCATTCCTGTATACTTATAAAGCAGAAATCTCCAGTTGGATAATGAGGAGCTCTGGGGTTGTTATATCTGTAGATTATGATTACAATATTGAGTCTACTGCAAAACAAATGCTTGTAAATCATTAACACTAGATTTACCAGTCTAGCAGACACACTGATTACAATTATTAAAATAATGTTTTAAAAAAGGTTCATAATTTTAGTCCACGGGTTTCGTGACTGAAAACAGAAAATTAACACCTCACTCCTCATGGCTGTAGCTCTGCATTCTAGTTCTTTTTACAGCTTAAATTGGTTTCCTTAACAGCACATTGTATCCTGACAGATACATAGGCTTCCTGCCATATCTGACCCTGGGCAAGTATGGAGGTTTGGCAGGGTAGGTCATTTGTGGGCGTGCTGCTATAAAACACAATGTAATGGAATAATTAAGTTGCTGCGGTTAAGACCATGTAGAAAACGTCCAAGGAGATATTTTTTTAAAAAAAGCTGTGTGTTTGCAGGCTGTAATAATAATAATAATAATCCTTGCATTTGATATAGCGCTTTTCACGTCGGGAGGACGTCCCAAAGCGCTTCACAGAACACACTGTAAAGTGAATTGACTGTATATTTGTGGGCGAACACGGCAGCCAATTGCGCACAGCAATGTCCCACAAACAGTCGTAGATTGAAAATGACCAATTTATTATTGTTTTTAGTTTTGGAGGAATTATTATTAGGTGTGTGGGGTAAGGAAACTTGCCCACGGTTGCGTCCTGTGCCTGGAATTGAACTCCGGTCTTTCACTTGCAAAGCGAGTGCTCTAACCACTGAGCTGCAGGACTCCACATTTATGTATTTATGTTCTTTAGCACTTTTAATTTCTGCTTTGTATCACTATTTGTTTCTGGTTCATTTTGTATTTAATAAATTGCATATTTCCTCAGTGCAGTTTTGTAAGTTCCTTGACTGTGTGTTTTATTTAGCAAATGTAGTAATGTTTCTGCATTTGCTACCTTTCCCTATCTGTTTTTATTGAATCTTCATGTTTGACCTTAACTTTCCACCAAAGTACCTTTCTGAATCGATTAAATGTTGTACGATTTACTATAAAACATCAAGCGACTGCTTGTATGTAAGAAGACTTGATAAGCTTATCTTTTGGGTATTTTATGTGTCACCTGTCTCTGCTGTTTATGTTTGCACTCAGATTCTGGCCATTAACCGAGGGGAAAAATTGAAGATTCTGACAGTGAAGGTCAATGTTCCTGACAGGGTGAAAAATGAGTTCTGTTGGTGGTGCATCAATAAAAGGTCTGTGTATACCAATGGCATATTACTGTATTTTCAAAAATACTTTGTACAATTATACGTCCCCTCTATTGCAAGTTATTTTTCTCTTCAATCTCCTCCTTTCCTTCTCCTCCACCATGCAAAGGATCATTATTTTCATTGAAGATCAGAAGCTGTGTGGCATCTTGGCTTCCAGAAGGACCATGTATTAGTTTTCTGTTCTTGTTCCTCTACTGGAACTCTGCAGCTTAGGGGTTAGAGCACTCGCCTTGCAAGCGAAAGGACCTTGGTTTGATTCCCGGGCAGAGCGAAACTTTGGGCAAGTTTCTTTATTCCACACGCTTTTGTTTACTTAGCAGTAAGTAGGAACCCGGTTTTTAGTCGATTGACGGATCACTTTTCTGGAGTAATAATCCCTTAAAAATAAAAAAAATGATGGTCACTCAATCCACGGCTGTTTGTGGGACATTGTTGTGCGCAATTGGCTGCTGCGTTTTGCCCACAAACTGTAAGGTCACTACACTTTACAATATATTCCATGAAGAGCTTTGAGACGTCTCGAAGACGTGATAAGGTGCTATATCAAATACAAGGATTATTATTACTTGCCTAATGGGATTGAGGTGTCACAGTGTTGAGAATTGTGGAGGTGAAATCTGTGTCCAGTGACTCAATCACTGGACCAAACCTCTTCTTTTGGCGGCTTTGTTGCCTAGTTTCCCAGTGGCTGCTTTAGAACTGACTGCCAGGCTTTTGTATTATGCAGAACTCAGCAAACTGATGGATTGGCATACTCACCAGTCTGGCAATATATTGTGCAGTGTTAAAAATCTGGTGAAGATTAATTGACTCACCTGGTTAACTACATCAAGATATTAATTACATTGTTTGTTCAGAGTCCCCTCCCCCACAATACTTTAGAGCCAGTTATGCTGTGGCTGACAGTTAGACAGTTGCTAGAGATTATTCTCGTCATATCTGCCTGACTTAGTTAATAGTGCACTCACCCACTTGTCCGACTTTGAACTCGTAGTCTACAAGGTGAACTGGTCGTCTGTAGACTGAACTCGCGTGAGATGTCAAACTGAGGTCCATTTGGATGGACGTCAAACATCCAATTGCACTATTTGGAAAAAAAAAAGGAAGGAATTTATCCTGGCAGCAAACCTCCAAATAAAATTGTTCATTCACTTCCATGGCTGATTGTGGAACATTGCTGTGTGCAAATCCACGATCACAAACAAATGCAGTCTCTACACCTTACAGAAAACTCTGAAGTGCTTTGAGACATTTTGATATGATAAAGCACAGTATCAAATGCAAAGATTCTAATAAACTGGCTCTTGTGTTTTTAGGCATTCTGCGTTGCTTTGGGACTGATAAGGATATTACTCAGTCCTACTGCATTTAGCTGACTGAGCCACTATTTACATCTTTCTTCAGATGTGATGTTAAACCGAGGACCCACCTGCCTGTTCAGGGGTGTGTTAAAGATCTCGTGGCCCTTTTCGAAAAGAGAAGGGAGTTTCTCCTAGTCCTGGCCAACAACCCCCCAAATAAAAAAAAATATTGGTCATTCACTCAAGGGGCTGTTTGTGGGATGTTGCATAAATTAGCTGTCACATTCGCCCATAAAACACAGTCATAATATATTATGTGAAGCGCTTTGGGACGTCCTCCTGATGGAAAAGGATTTTTATTATTACGCTGTAAGGGTGTCTATTCTATGGTTTTGAGATGTCAGGGAGTAAACGTGGCCGTTCCCTTCGCCTCTTTTGAGGGCGAGAATTCATAGGCCAGAAAAATGTTCAGTTTTATTTTTTTATCCACTCCCTGGGAAACCTAAAAGAAATAGCAAATTATGTGGGGGGTGGGGTGGGGGTTTATGTTGCATTGAAAAGACTCCCTCCAATCAAGTTCCCTTTTAGTTTCAAAGCATTGAATAAAATTCACATTTCCTTTGACTGTAACTTGTGGTATTTCTTAATAAAATTCCTCAGTAAGGAATCCCTGTTAAAATTCCCGTTGACCTGTGGGAGCGTCCTCCGGAAATAGATTGCATTGGTTCGGAGTTCCCATGGGTCAGTGTGACAATGCTCCCGATTGTCGGAATTGTCCATTTTGCGCAACTCTCATTCCTAATGAAGGAATTCCATTAAGGAATACCGCAAATTGAATCCTGTTGCGACTTAGAAAAAACACACGTGTTGAAATGTACATGATGAATTACATTTCTTTTTTTAAACCCTAACAGGTGGAGGCCAAAGAATTTCGCAAGTCCCGGGATTATGAAAATTCTGACGGATTCTGCTGAAGATTCATACAAACGTCTCATTTGTCCTCTTCTGTGTAGAGAATTCAGGTGATTAGAGAGTATTTACGATCTTTTCCGCTCTGGTTTTATGTATGTGTATGTAGAAATATATTCCTGAGTAAACGACCGTTAACCCCTTTAAAACTATTTGAAGTCGATGCAGTTCATGTACTTTAGTGCATAAATTCTAGCCGCAGATTTTTGGGAAACATTTGTTTAGTTCATTCAATTTTAAAGCCTGTTTGGGAGCACAATAATCGTATAAAACTACTGATACTCAGTCACACACACACACATATACTGGGGAACCCAGTTAATAATAATAATGTAATATTTCTTGGATTTGATACAGCGCCTTATCGCATCTCCTAGACGTCTCAAAGTGCTTCACATACTGTAGAGTGAATCAACCGTATATTTTGTATATTTTGTGAGTGAAACCGGCAGCCAATTGAGCAACAGCAGCATCCCACAAACAGTCGTGGATTGAGTGACCTATTTATTTACTATTCTAATTTTTTTTTTTTGAAAAAGTTATTACCCCCGGAAAAGCAATCATTTTAAATGCTTCACTCGAATGCTGGAGCATCATTTTGCTTATAACTCAAGTTTCCTGTGGATCAACAGTTAGTGGAAGTGCGGTATACCTCAGCATGGTTCTAGCTTCCACTAAATTCCATAACACTCTGGAAGCTGCTGGTCAGCCTTGACTTGATGAAGTTTTACTTAGAAAGCATCATGGTAGATGTAGATAATGTTGGCGTCAATGGGATTAACGTGCGTCTTCCATTTCTTTTAAGAACTCGTTTGAAAACGAATGCCGAGATGGAATCCATTTTAATGTTTGGGAGGAATCTTCGACAGGTTCTCCTGACCAATCCTGTTCGTGGCCGAGTTCTTTTGGGGGTCGATCCTGGATTCAGGAATGGATGCAAACTGGCGATTGTTTCACCCACAAGTACGTACATGTGCATCCTTCCTCTCTCCTTTCCTTCCTCCCCTCCCCCCTCATTTCCCATTTGACGTGCTTGTGTATCTCAACGCAGGTACATATGCAAAAACAATGAACACAATTTAGTTTTCATGTATTTTTTTTAATTTGCTGTAACACATTGCACAATGTGACCTGTGTACTGTGCTGTGGTAGGGAAGTGCAGTGGGCCCCCTTCCATAAGAAGGTAAGTTAAAATTCGAGTCAGAATGGTCGGTTACACACACCTAATGGCTGGCTGATGTTTGACGCCTACACAGGACTGGAGAGATGAGGGTTAATATGTCCATAATAAAACCTTTGCCTTGGGGTTACTTCTCAAAAAAAAGTTCCTGTGCCCCTTTGTGGAACAGCCAGTATTCTTAATTATTCACCCACCATCTTACACTGTTTGCACTTGTCCAGGTAAATCGTTTATTCGTTAGCTTCTCGTTGAGTATCCCACCACTTCGCTATTCTGGTATTTTCATCTCCAAACACCTGGCTGAGAAGTGGTGTTTGAAGCAGCTCGGGAACGAGCTGCAAGCTGCTTTCCGGTTCTGTCCCACAAGCGGTACATGTCTGGTGTCTGGAGGGCAGAAAATGGATGAATTTCATAATCGCAAGCAAAAAGACATTGACAAAGCACAATTTTAAAAATTACAATTTTGTGAAGAAGTACGCTGAACCCACAAGCGTTAAGCTGTGTTATGGACCGGGTCAATGTCAGTTAAATAATTAAATGGCTGATATGGTAGGGGAATTATTTAACTCTTTGTAGGTTGCAGGGTTTTTATTTGTCTGATACATTGACCCAGAATTTATTTGTTCTGAACAGTCTTTACTTTCTTACAGTGAACCGGAATCTATTTTTTAAAAAAAAGATATTGAATCTAATGTGTTCTCTTAACAAAAAACACGAGTTGTAAGAGGAAATGTGCAATTGTCAAGGACTAAATTGTGAATGGACAAAAGCTGTGTACAATATCCTTTGTTCCAAGATTCATCTGTACTAAATCTCATTTGCAGCTGCTCAAACTTCTCTCTCGATTTTATTTGCCGTAGAACAGTCTGCTTCAATATTACCAGCTTCATCCAATATTATTTGTCAGAACTGCAACAGCCTGCATCTTATTTGTTGCAGACAGGAGAATATGCGGATACTAATTTTGGCACAGGTCTGGAGACATTTGAACCTTCTCTGTCTTCTGGTGGATGAAAAGGCACCAGTTTAGTCCTGGACAAGGGATTAAAGAAAATATCAGACATTACACTCTTGTCCTCTAGAACTCTTCCATTACCACTCTGTCTTGCTATGTCGTCTTTAAAACCTTCTCATAGCATGTTTCTTTGACCAGCAGAGTTAAAACTCTTTATTTTTCTTCTCTGCGTTGACAGCTACTCTTCTGTTTGTGAATATGCAGGATCTTGTAATGATCAGTTCAACTTTTTTAATGAGAGTCAGAGCCGATCTCATCCGCGCTTCCAAAACACACTCCACTATTCTGTTGTGCTTTCATCGACGCGTTTGAAACCAAATCTGTTTATCGGATGTAAGGCTGTTGCTGTTAAGTATAATGACAGTCCATGTTATACACTTGTACGCTGGGTTTCCTGGCTAGAACTCCTGCTATCAAGGACAGACTATAATGAAAGATTAGCGATTTACTTCGAGTAACTGGTTACTTTCTGACATTGGATTGGTCCTCCGCCGCTATCATTAGATATTTTCTTTAATCCCTTTTCCAGGACTAAACTGGTGCCTCTCCTTCCATCACTGCTGTACCGGCTAACAGTCCATACCACAGATCCTGCCTGGGACCTTCTTGATCTGTATGACAGCTGTGACGATTTATTAGTTTCTGTTCAGGGATCTGAATTTTAACGGCTTTGAATCTCACTGGTGTTTAATCAACAAATACAGCACTTCATAATAATATTAATAATCCTTCCATTTGATATAGTGCCTTTTTGAGATGCCAAGTAGTATTGAGTGGTTTTGCTTTTAATAAAAGTTGTGAGCATCGCTGAGATCTGAAAGTATTGAATGTAAGGTTGAAAGGAGATCTGTTATTCTTCAGGATTTATAAATTATGGTACTGGGTTAACTGTTTCATTTAAACTATACTCACCATCAGTGATAGATATGGCAGTGTTGGACATGCAGTCCTGTAGCTCAGTGGTTAGAGCATTCGCCTCGCAAGCGAGACCTGGGTTCGATTCCCGGTAGGGCGAAACGTTGGACAAGTTTCCTTACTCCACTGCGACACTTAGCCAAGTAAGGAGTTTTTCAACACTATCTTTGTGATCAAACTGTAGGACAACCATCTTTTATTCACGAATAAAATGCACAAATAATATCCTGAGATAAAAGTATTGGGCTGTTTAGATTTTCTTTATGGTGCTTTTTTTTTTATTCATTCATTGTGATAAAGCGAATTTTTATCCTTTCATTAATCCACATGCTATTGTTCCAGGCCAAATTCTCCATACTGATGTGGTTTACTTACTCGGTTCTGGAGTGCAGCGAGAAGCTGAAAAGATAAGGCGTTTGCTTCATGAATACAGGTATTTTAATAGTTGGGACTTGTATCCTATGTTGCTCAAGCCAAAGTCAGTTTACTTCTGGCACGTCTGAGGAAAGTAATAAGTAAGATACTGGATACAAGATTGAGCAATGAATTTTATAATAATAATAATCCTTGCATTTGTTATAGCGTCTTATCACGTCGTCGAGACGTCTCAAAGCGCTTCCCTGGATATACTGTAAAGTGAATAGACTGGATATTTTATGGGCGAAATGTAGAAGTTCTGTATAATATAGACTGAGAACTCTGATCATGGTGTGGTGTTTGAATGATTGAATTTCTTTGTATGTAAAACCCATCTGAAGAAAAGTGATATGGTGCAATGTTCTTTGAGAGAATTGATCAATTTGCCAATCTTGGTGAGTGGTTCTAGTTCTTTGCCTTTTGGTGCTATCAGTCTTCGTGGTTCAAAATTATTGTGGGGTCAGAGTACATTACACGATCACATGGCACATCGGCATCATGGTATTTTTGGTTTTGATGAGCAAATAATTTCAATAAGAATAAATATATTATGTATGAACCATTTATCATCACTTGATTTAACCACCCTAATGTTTTGGGGAACACTCAGCAAGTCAGGCAGTATCTAGAGTCTGCCTGACCTGCTGATTATTCCCTACGACTTCTCCTTTTTTGTTTTCAGATTTCCAGCATCTGCGGTATTTTGCGTTTTGTTTAATGTTGTTGTGTGTGTCTTTGTGCTACTTTCAACCTAAATACTGTTGGTTTTGTTTTTTCATGCGTTCAAAGCTGCTGGACTGTCGTTATTGGTAATGGAACTGCCTGCAGGGAAACCGAGGCTTTCTTTGCAGACCTGATCAACAGGAAATATTTTGCCCCATTGGACGTCGTGTACTGGTAAGGCTTCTTTTAAATCTTCGCTTCTTTTAAATCTGCTCAAAATCGAGCGACATATCTGCAGCCTCTGGTCTGACGATCTAATAGAAGGGATGACGATGATCTGGGTAAATGTGGACTACGTCCTGAACCTGTGGAACTCTCTACCGTAATCCCTTCGCTTCGCCCCCCCCGCCCCTACCCCTCCCCATATTTGGGTCGTGCCTTCATCTTCGACCGTGCCTACGGTCACCTCCCCCCCTTCACCGACACACCATCGGGCTCCGCCACTGTTAAGTGCTCCGAGTCATCGGCTGACACGACGGGCGCTATATAATTGCAAGTTGTTGTTGCTGTGCTTGCTGGCTCTCGATGCCAATGCTCTCAACAATCACAGGAGGTTCCAGACAGCGCCTAAGCAAGTGTTTTTTCCATCTGATTTTAATGTGGGTCAGACTGAGTGGAGAGGGACCTGCTCTTGCAATGTTAGTAATTAGGATGCGTGTATTTTCGTTTTAATTTTTTTTAAAAACTCACAGCTGACATTAACGGCTCATGGTTTCTGCTTCTGTTGGCTCTGCTCCTTTAAAAGGCTGTGTTAAACAGGCTGCACTGGCTCTGGTCCTTTAACAGGTTATGTTAAACAGCTTAGAGCCAGCATTAGAAGCAGATTGTAGCGTGTAGAGGTCAAAGTACAGAGTGCAGTTGTTTGTTGAGATATTTTAGGAGTAGTAGCGCTCAGAATAGCAGCAAGAGGCACGCACCGTTGGTTTGCAAGGCTGCTTTCAGCAGATTCCCTGAATATCAGACAATCGCATTATCTAATTTAACTACATTGGAAGAAGTACGTATCGTGTGAATAAGATTGGCTTTAGCCAAAATACAATTGGGAAAACTGAACAAATTGCCTCTTTCCTGGGCTGGAAGAGTTTTTGGTTCTTACATGTTCCGTTTTCTCAATACTATATGTCTTTGGAAATCAAGTAAGATGGCGATTTCTACCCATTCAGTTCTTTGGGGGAGTCTGCAGCAGTTATTTTCCAAAGATATTAGTATAACTGGCATTCATGTATGCAAGGATGCCCATATAATTCTTGAAAGGAAAATTCAGAATGCAGTTAATTTTTTTAACTGCTCCCCACCCCCAGTAAAATACAAAGAGGCTCAAATTCCAAATCTTCTGGTGGGAGGCAAAATGTAAAAATGATCCATACAGATGCCAAGCTTTGTGATGTAAAGGAAAACATAAGAAACTAATATTTGTTTTGAATTTACAAATAACATCTGGACCTCATTTGACACTAATCTCTAATGAAAAACAAATATTTCTTACTGTGAATTTAGTGACAGTTCCTTTAGTTTTGTGTGTTCTAGTCCAACATAAATAGCTGCAGAATCTTTTTTATATTTTCTCATAGTTTACTGGATCCTTTCTTATTGACTTAGATTTGGATTGGGCTTCTGTCCAGTGCAAGTTTCATCTAGTCATGAGGCTTTCTGTAACGAATCTTTATCCACTGCCAGAACCAGTAGAGTCCTTGACTGTTTTGTATTAACTTTATTTGTTCAAAGCCAAGGGGTGTAGTATATTAGAACTGAAGCAGATGTTCAGTATGAACATTTGCATTCATTATTTTCATTGGACACACAATTCATGGGTTTCAAACTGGCATGAATCTCTGAGAACGCTCAACTTTAAATGTTGTCAAACACTGGCAACATTTGAATTGCAGAGTTCTGTATAATGTTTTTGCAGCTTTTAGTAAACTTACTCTTATCATGCATCTCTCTTATTTTGATAAGTAGGAAAATAAAATTTTATAATTTTTTGAGTGAATACTATTAAACCTAAACGATTGTGCATTCTTTCTCCCAAGATAAAATGTTGATGTCCCTTAATCCTAGTTCTATTCCTCCAGCATCAACTTCTAGTAGAACTCAAAAACAACTATGGAATCTTCCTTCCCAAATCCCTCCACCTCACTCCCACTGTCCCTCCCCGTTTTCAAAATCCTTCTGCAAACCTACCTCTTTGATCATCCTCCTCTGGTTTCCTCATCGTACCTGTAAAGTCGTTGTCCTACGTGAAAGTGCGTTATTACTGCGAGCTCTTTTTGTTTTTCTAACACCTCAGGGATACTAGATGCGAGCCATTTCCCTCGCAGTTTAAAAAAATTCAATGTGCAAATATCCAGCTTGAACTTTTGCGGAGCCAATTAGCAAGTCCTGACTCGAGGATAATTATTTAAAGCTAGAAACAAAATCAGATTATACAGCGACTCTTTCTGTATGTATGCCTGTTTTCTGACCTCAGATGATAAAGGAAGTGAGCTCCACCTACCTGTGAGCAGCAATAACTATCAGGATTTGGTCCACTTTTGATTTGTGTTTCGCGAAGGTAGGTTTTCCGGATTTGGCAAGCGATGGGCTGCCCTGTTCAGCAGTGCTGTTGATATTATGTTGTGCTGGTTTGCTTGGATCAAACCCAATCCCGTTTACTTTTCATTATTGATGGTTTATGGATTTCGTGGGACCACCTCCCAACGCTCTTAAATAAACTTTTAAGAGGTGTTTCTGTTGGAGAAGCAGCCCCCACGATGCAGTGGATGGACCTGCAGCTTATGAATCAGGAGCTCGCTGGTTTGAATCTGTGCTGTTTGCTTGGACCCGGACAGGACACGCAGAACTGGCTCAACCTTCCCAATCTTCTGCTCCCGATCCCCTACAGCATCCTCTACTGGTTGCGCAAAGTGGTGACAACCAAGTGGGAGAGCTCAGGCTCGTCTGTGACCACCCCAACATTCAAGTGGCCAACCGAGGTTCACACACACAGAATACCGGTTATCTATCTTTGTAGCTTCTAGGAGGAGATGTGCATATTTGGAATTTTATAGTGTTTTATGATGAGCTACTTCTTATAGAAGAAAAACCAGTACATTAGCCAAAGGGAGATAGATGGGTTTCGACACTGCTGGAAGTGAAGACAACAAGGGCAACGTTTGCAGGGGATTAGAAGAGGGGAAAACTATTTGATTGAAACTGAGATAAGGAATAGGATAGTATCAAACAAAGTTGAAATTGAACAAGATAAGCAGAGCTGGAGACCTGATTGGTGGCATTTTTGAAACGTTTAGAGCATAAACATTAGAGAATCTTTACTCCTAGTTTCAGCTATTACTGGTGGAGTTAATTTGGAGACTGATTATACTTAAAATTTGTTTCTCCCACAAAATATACAGTCACTAACAGTTTACAGTGTAGAGCCTGTGAAGTGCGTTGCGTCGTCTCGAAGATGCGATAAGGCGCTATATTAAATGCAAGGATGATTATTATTACATTTTGCTTGTTATATATACTCAGAAACACTGGCACAAATAAATATTGTACCTGCAAATCCTTCACTGTTTTACTAAGCAGACCCATATCTCGTGACAAACGGCCTGAGTTCTAACGCATAAAAAATGGAAACCATAAAATAGCTGAAGTGTCCAGCAATAAAGATGCCTATTTTGGAGTTCGGTTATTTTTGCATTTTGTGCCCCAACAATAAAAGTAAACTGGTTGTGATATTTGGTGTTTGTTTTCACCTGCTGCACCAGTTAAGATTAATGGACTGAGCACAGACAATGGAACCTGAATGGTTCAGTGCTGCAACGAGTGATGATTTTACCCACTGAGCCATCAGCAGAGCGCTAACAATGCTTCTTCATGTGAGCTTTTCCACTGTTGCCTTGGGAGTTCATGTGAAAACCTGACATTTACATCCTAGCACTTTGTTACAAAATAAGAATCTCTCTCGCTCGTGGCTTTCCTGTATCATAGAGTTTGCTATCTGTTGTTTTACTCTGTACTAACTTTGCTCGTTTACGTCTAGTTTGTTTCAATCAAGCTGAATTTAACAATGAGAGCAATAGTGAACAGCAAATATTACATTGCGTTTAACATTTGTAATTGGATAAGTGTTAAAGTGAATAAAGTGAAAGTGACTGATTGGCTAAAAAACCAACTTTCTCTCTCAGTACAAGAAATGCTATTCGATTATTGTCCACACTTTCATCTTGGTCATCCCTTTGTAGTTCCCTTAAATGATAGCTTCTGTCTTCCCTGATAACCCGTTTTATTGCTGGTTTAAATACCTCTTTTCGTTTGACTCCACCTTTGCATTTCTAATGTTACGTTTGCCTTTTTTCCTCTTGCATCACTGCCCGCTCGGTATGTTGGGCAATAACACTTTGCTTCCAGGTTTTTGATAATTGAGCCTCGAGGACACGGACTGTGAAAGCAACAGGTCTGGTTCCAGAAATGAAGTAGTTCAGTGCCACCCATATTATTTACCTGATTGGCACATTGAACTAACCAGTGGCATTCATTTTCTATTCAAGCAGCATTAATCTGTATTTCATCAGGTACCTGCAGTGCTGTAACTTTAGATGTGTCTTTGAGTCTCAGTTTACTCCAGCTTGGCTTTTTCTTGTTAATGTGGCATGAAAGAAGTATGCAAAAGTGAGTCAACATCAAAGGCCCCTTTTTAAAGGGAAACAGTTGACGTGAATCCCTTGCCGTTAAATGTTGTCTGTCAGACGGTTAGGCTGTTTTGCATCTTTTCACAAACTGTTGCTGCTTCCTGCTTTCAAAGAAGGATTTAGTGCAGGTGTTTTTGGAGACTACACCACTTTGAAGGGACATTAAAACGATCAAATGAAGGAAGGGCCTTACCTCCAGTAACACCATATTCAGCCTTAGAATGGAATCACTAGGAATTCAGGAAGAGTATTTGGCAAAGAGATTTTTGTGTGCTGTGTCCTCTTAGTGTGGAAAAAGGACCTTTGTTTCATACACAGGCTTACCCATTTATTATACCCATTTAGTCTATATAAGAAATTAAGGTGATGCACCACTGAAAGCCTGTAGTTTGTTGCTACTAAAAAGGTTAATTTACCCACATGAATATGCTCATCCACTGGAGCGAACTACTCTAAATCTAATTCCTTGCTCTTTTTCCTTAATATGTTCTGTATAAA